TATCTCTATAAGTTTCACGTGGGTCCCATGCTCTGAAGTTGAAATCCTGGATACGCCACTAGTTTGAATTTCATCGAAGTATAATTTTTACCTGCAACAACTTGTTTAACATCAGTAAATTCTGACCATACTCGACCGTTAAGTTTTTCATTATTTTCTTGAATATATTTGTCACGTTTTATCATCATTGTTCCAGTCGATGATGTTTCATCAATTGGTAAAACAAAATCTATTTTATTGCTAAAATAATAAATATTAATTAAAAACAAAAAAAAAGAAATTTTCTAATCGATTTATTTGTTTTTTTTTTGTTTGTCATTTTATTTACCCTTGATAAATTGATGAATCACTTTCAATATCAGTTTTTCGTCGATCAAGAATATTTTGATAAATATGACGATGACTATCTGATGTATCTTTATAACCACGTACAAGATATTCGATTTCACGCCATAAAAAACGATATGCTTCATCTCTATCAAATTAAATTTAACATTATTACATTCATAATAAAAAGGTTATTAAATTTTTCATATGATTTAATCACTTTTTCGAATTTCAGAAAAAAATTATATTTTCATGTGAGTCTACACACTTCGATCTGAAATTTCTATTAGAACCTTTTATATGAACAATCTCTTTTACCTCAAATAATTATAGATTGATTAGTTTAACGTTTTATACTAGTGTCCGATTCGGGTTACTATTGTCCATTTCAGAGTTAAATGGTTGTGAGCATTTTTTGAATAATTTTTTATAAGAATGAAATAGAGACCTGCAGTTTTCACCGTTGGAAGGAGGAGATGAAGACGCATTGAACCATATAGAGAAAGATTTTTTCTAAAAGTTTTAGTAAAACGTTTTCAAAGAATTACTTTATTCTTCTATGTTAAAAAAAAGAGATTTTTCTATGAAAATACTACAAAAACTTACATTTTTCGATTATTTTGTTGGAAAAAATGAGGCGATAAATTGTATCTTCGATGGTTTAGATATCTTACTAGTAGTAGTTAGGAATAGATTCTTGATATATTTTTTTAGATTTACCGCAAGTCTCTATCTCATACCTATGAGAAGATATTGAAAAAATGCTCACGGCCATTTAACTCTGAAATGGACAATAACAGTTGACCGATTTTGAAGTTTTTATAAGATAAACGGCAATTTCAGATGAGATAATGATTTCGTTGTTTCGAATATTGAGAGAATTTGTATAGATACATTGAAAAGATTGTTAATCTATGAAAAAAAAACTCGGTTTTCTTAACAAAAAAATCTCTTCAATCTCGGGTTGTGTCACGAAAAATTGACTCATGTCGAATACTCTTATTTTAAACATATTTCTTAAGTCTTCTAATAAGAAACCGCGATCTTTTATAATCTATAGGATGAATGTCTTAGCACAAAATACTGAATCATTTTTCGACCTGATTAGCATTAGAAATGGTTATTTACTCTTTACAGATAAATGTTCAGATTTTATTTCTAAGATAAGATTGAATAGCTATTAGTAAATTTTATAAACAAGTTGAAAATAGTGTCTGAAAAAAGAAATATATCAATTTTAGTGCAATATTTAGTTTACGCCTAGGAACAGTTACCATAAAAACTTATTTCGCATATTGACTTTAATAGATGTCAATCGAAATATAAAATAGTATTCAACAGAACAATCAACTTTGATATATAATCATTAATGATAATACAAAAATGATAAATCTTTTTACTTTTTAGCTTTATTGGTAATAATTTTGGTTGTATATTGAAAATTATTTGGTACAGGTAATGATTCACCATTTCTTTCCATATTATCAACATATTTCAAAGTCATAAGATATTTTGATACATCATCATCTGATAATTTTTCACGTAATATTAAACTTGTTAAAAGATTTATTGGCTAAAATATAAAAAAAAAGAATTTAAATACATAATAATAAAATATTAAATTAAAATTTTATACTGCTGGCATATTGAATAAAATTGTTTCATTTATTAATAATGGACATCGACGTGTATGACGTTCAAGAAGTCGAAGAGCTTTAAAAACAATTTAAAAAAAATTTTTTTTTTCATTAATATAAATAAATATTTACAATCTTCAATTGGAATTTTTCCACTTGTCATTGTTTCGACTGGATAAAGTGTTGTTGTACGTATTATATTAATAAAACTCTTTAGAAATAAAATAAAAGATTGAAGCAAAATCTATTAAAAGAAGAAAATCATTACTTCAACACGTAAATCTTTTTCTAAACTATCATCATCAATTTCATCCATTAATTCTTCTAAATCATTTATTGATATATTATCTTTTTCATCAGTTACTAAATAAGATGGACCCATTTTACTCATTGGATTATTTGAACCAAATGCAATAGCATGTATCATTAATTCTTGATTATGTGATATAATCATATGTGAAAAAAGTCTATTTGTACTTGTTGTTGTTGTTGTTGTTAATGATAAATCATTATCAGATGTATTAAAACAATTTTCATCACCATATTCATTTATATTAATTGCACATTCATTTGGTAAATTACCAAGTTCAAGTAAAACACATTTACCACTTAATAAAAAATTAGTTAAACATGCTGATTCACGACTATTTACATCTAATGGTGAAAAACGATAAGCTGAATATGTATCATAATAATCTAAAAAATAAAATAATAGTATTAATTTTTTAGTTATATGAAAATAAATAATATAAATCGAAAAAATTTACTTTCTGGATCATAAGAAAATGCACTCCATTTAAGAACAATTGTTTCAACATCATCTTTTATTTGACGCCAATATTTTAATGGTGCACGTTCACGTAAACTATGATGAACTTCAGCTGGATGAACAATATCAACATCATAATTTAAACTTGAACGTGAAGCAACATCTTCCTAAAATATTTATGTTTTGTTTTACAAAAGAAAAAGATTTTTTTTCTCGTTTGTTTTACTTTCATTGGAATTCCAGTTACAGTTGTAAGTGCTAAATAATGTTGTTTTAATAACATTTGTAACATTCGTGTAAATAACATTTGACCAGCTTGAGCATAATAAAATGTACGATGAAGAATAGAACTTATCTATTTAAATATATGAATATCATCAGATCATCGATTATATCAATCAAAATAAAAAAGATATTTTTTTTTTATTTACTGAACGATATTCAGGATTTGATGTTGGTACTGGTTGATCAATTGATCGTACATCAACTAATGTTAAATCACATTTTGCTAATGGAACAAAACTAAAGAAAAATTTAGAATAAAACCAAGTGTGTTTTTCTTTTCTCAATTATAATCTCTAATTAATAGATAAATTTCACACTATTATGTATAGGAAATAGTCTTCGGACACTGACATTCGTATTTTCTGCAACAATAAGACATTAACTCTATGAATAAATGTTATTTTTGTAGCGGTACGTTTCGATGTCTTAGTGAATACTAGTAACCATCCTTATGGATACTAAAGATATACATGTATCAAATCCTCAATAATGCGAAATAAAAAATGAAAAATAACTTGTAGAGATCGGAATTGAAAAAATTACTACTCCAATCAAAATTAGATATTTAATAGTTTTCAGAAAATTATCTTATAAAATCAATCAATGAGAAAATAATAGATTAAAGATGATTCAAAAAAATTGCTTGTTACTGAATTTGTTATTTAAATGATGATTTATTATTAAGAGTCAAATCATTTTGAGTAATAATTTAATTAAAAAATGATTTCACATCTCTGCTCTGACCTCTTCGCGCGTCTGAATAGGATCACTAATTGTCCTATATTATATGACTTACTTGCTCAAAATAGACAAGTAATTCAGAAGCATGAAAACAAAACAAAAAAAGTTTGAATAAAATTCAATATTACGAAGAAGAATTCTTATCAAGTTTAGTAAGAATCATGATATTATGAAAGAAACAATATCCACTCGTAAATAGTCTTTATCATTCTAATCAATTAATATAAAAATTTTGAATTATTCTCAATAATCTATTTGTTGAAAAAACTTTGTTTTTAAAAAAAGTGAATTTAATATTTACTCATTCATTTCAAGTGCCATATGATTATGAGATTCATGAAATATTTTAGCATCTTTTTCAATTGTTTCAATACGTTTACTAAAGATAAAAAAATAAGAAATTCAAAAACAAAAAAACAATTGAATATAATTAATTACTTATTAAAAGTTGAAAAAAGAATAATATGTCCACTATTTATATAATCTGAATCAGTAGGAATATTTTGTTTTTTTGAACGTGTACATAAAGCTGTTATTGCTTCATTAAGTGAATGTTTTAAAAGATCATCATCATTTACTAATGGACGTTCATTTGGTGGTTGAATACCAGCAAAAAAATCCATACACTAAATTAACATCTTTTTGTTATTTTATATTCTTGAAAACAAAAAAAAAATTTTTTTTTACTTGTGAAAGATTTTTATATCGATTCCACCATGATGATTGATCACGTTGATCAATACCTGTGACAATAAGTGTTATCTTATTTAAAAATAAAAAAATAAAATGTTTCGAAAAACAATAGAAGAAAAATAAAATCTTACAAGTGCATCATCTTCAAATATATCAAATAATATTCGACAATATTCAAGAACACATTCAACAATACATGTCCATAAAGATTTCATACCAAGACAATTTTCATTATTTATTTGATCTTGTTGTGTTTGTTGTTGTTGATCATTATTTTGAACATTAACATTAAATGTAACACCAGATGGACGAGAAAAAAAACTACTATGATCAAGAATTAATACAGTTTTACTTCTTTGTTGATCCATTTCATTAAAGTTAAATTAAATCAAGAATTAATACGATGATTCATATATTTGTTTCTCATTGGAAATATTGTTTAAACCATTCAAATTTTTATTACTATTTAATCGTAAATTCTAAATGAAATTGATTGTAGCGGTCTAAACATCTTTTTTTTTAGTCATTATTATCGTTTTTTTTTTGTTTAAAAATGACTATGAATAAACAAGATCTTCGTATATGTGATGATTATCTTCAATTTCAAAATCATTTAAATGATTTAAGAAAATTAGATGATTTAATTATAAATACACTTAATACAACTGTTTTAACAGCTACTTTTCGTTCTCGAGGATCCGATGCAACAAAACAATGTCAACAACTTGGTGATGAAGTAATGTCTTATCTTATGAAGTTTTTTTTTGAATTTTATTATTTTAGATTTCCGCTCGTGCATCCTATCGTAATGAATTAATATCTGCTTGTTTATCACGTACAAATGATTTAATGTCACAAAGTGATTTAAGTGAAAGTCGTCGTAAAACATTAATATTTCAACGACGACAATTACAAAATGAAAATAATATTGAAGAAATTGTTCGAACAAATACTGAAAAAGTAAATTCAATTATTTTTTGATTGATTTATGATTTGATATTTGTTTTTTTTTTGTAAATTTTAGGCATTTTATGAACGTTGTCGTGATTTCTACACACCTTCTCAAAATGTTTCCTTGTTAAAATCAATTAAACAATAGAATAGTAGTGCGTGAATATTCTTGCTTAGGAAGATTAACAATTCATTAAAACAAAAAAATGATTTTCTTAGTATAATTTAAGATATTTATATAATTATTTTTCTATAACTAATTTCCCTATGTTTTCATCACCGTGTTTTTAGGCAATAAAAGATATAATCTATTATTGTTTCTATTTCTAAATATATTTTATTAATGAAAAAAAAAATATGAATATTGTAAGTTTACAGGATATTACTAATACTCTTCTTGTGAAATTGATCTCGAAAGAATAAAAAAAAAATTATTTTTTTTTATATATATGAAATACTTTTAAGAAAAAATTGTAGAAAAATCCTACTGTGATTTTTAATACATTATTTAGCCCTTAGTTATTATCATTAAATCCAAATGGTTTCACTTTACAATAATCCGCTACATTACTATTTGTTCTTTTGGATTATTTCTCTTCTGTGATGTCTAGTCTTTACTAGATACATTATATCCTTTATCAGAAATCCATTCATCTGAGAATTTTCGTTTGAGTTCAAAATTTGCTCATAGTGTAAATAAAAATAGTGAAAGGGTAGGTGATAGTAGATCTTTCTTATCGAGTTATTGTCATTTTGCTGAGTTTTCAGTCTATAACAAGATATTACGAGAAAATTCCTAAGAAGGAATTTTTCCCTGGATAAGACATAATATTAATAGAAGAGTTCTAAAAATAGTTCAAATTCGAACTAAAACTTTCCGAATATTATAAGGATCATAACAACTAACGTTGAAGAAATGATCCGAGTAAAATTTCTTGTTTCAATTTTTCTCATGATATTGATAAACAGATCAAAAGTTCATTTAAATGATCATAATTTGAGAATAAAGATCTTATGGCAAGGACTCTGAATCTAGACAGATCCTAAAACAACAATGAACTTGCCAAATGTCAACAAGAATAAATTAAATTTTACTACTAACATCAGCTCAAATTTTTGATAAAACATTCATAAATTTGTATGAGACAATTATTATAAATGGAAACAAAAAAAATTTATAGTATAACTGTTAAGAATAATTTCTTATGCATGCTGCGCAACATCATATTAATTGATATGAATAATAAAAAAAACAAAGCTATTTCCAGTAATTGATAGCTTAAGTTATTTTTAAAAAATTCTTCAGTTGAACAACAAAAAAATATTCTCTCTTTCATAACGCATTTATTTTCTTTCGCAAATTGACATGTACCGATCAGAATAAAAGTAAAACTTTTTTTTTTTTTTCTTCGGAAGAAAGAGAAAGAAAAAAATCAATTACTGCAATCGTTTTACTATTTCTTCATAGTAAAAAAAAAACAAGACTGCTAAATTGTTTTTTTGTCAAGCTCATTTTCTTGTATAAATAAAACGGAATAATAAATTGATTGCTCTATCTTTTTTAGACAAAAAAGAAAAATTTTTATACTGACATCCAAATATAAATATATAACGATTATTTTTGCAGTCATTCTGTGTACGTGTGTACAATATTATTTATTTGGATACTTATCATCAAATAGAATTGAAACAATAAAAATGCAAACTGTTCATGTTAAAGCTCGAAAATCACCTTATTCTGATACACAAGATGTTGAGGTAGAATTTTGTTTATTTGCAATATTATTCAATTTAATGATTATGATTTATAATTAGAGAATAAATTTATCGAATGAACAAGTATCGTGGGATGTTGATTTGCCGGGTTACGAACCAAGAGTATATACATCACCAATTGTCTTAAATAACCCACCTTGGGCTGATGATCCTGATCCGTAAGATCGAATAAAATTGATTCATTGATATTGTTGTTTTTTCTTTGAAATTGATTTTTAAAGAAAAAAAATTCAACATTATAATGAAATAGATGGAAATATTGATCGAACAAGTGCGATGGGTAGATATGAAATCGATAAAAAAACAAATCGACCAAAAAATCCTCAAGGTCGTACTGGATGTATGTCAGTTATAAAATTAGATTTTTTAATAGTAAATGTTATCTTATTTTGTTTTATAGTGGCCGGTCGTGGTTTACTTGGTCGATGGGGACCAAATCATGCTGGTGATCCTGTTGTTACACGTTGGGCTAAAGATCAACAAGGTCATAAAAAAAAAGTTTTAGAAATTATACTTATTCATAGAAAAGATACTGGAGAATTAGCTTTACCAGGTGGTATGGTTGATGCTGGGTAAATATTGAATAGATTTTATTTATTTAATCAAAAGTTTCTTATTTAGTGAACATGTATCAGCAGCAGTCAAACGAGAATTTATTGAAGAAGCTATGAATTCTAATCATGAAGGAGCCAAACAAATCGAAGCATTATTTCAAAAAGCTGTTTCAGTAAATAAATTTTTATTTATTGAAAATTTTATATACTAGAATATTATCATAGATTTACAAAGGTTATGTTGATGATCCAAGAAATACGGGTACAAATCTTCTTTATTTTTTTCATAATGAAAAACAAAAACACATGATATTCTTTGATTTTATTTTAGATAATTCTTGGATGGAAACCGAAGCTGTCAATATGCATGATGAAACAGGCGAATTGACAAAAAATTTAAAATTAGAAGCTGGTAAATATTTTATTTTTTGAACAAATTTACTGTCCTATTTCATTCATCTTACATTCGATTAAACAAGATAAAATCTTTTATTGTTATTGATTTTCAGAACACATATTTATACGTATATCAATAGTATATCTTAGTAAGGACATTTCATATGAAAAATTCTATAATTACAATAATTGATAAACGTTTGATATGGATCATCGATATTAATACTGAACAAAGAATCGGTAGCACAGGGTTCACAAGGTCACTAATTATGTTGACATTCGGATTCGCTGCAAAATTGAAATATCAACTCTAATAAAATATATTCTTTTTCTAAGGATGTATTACAAAATTTCAGTGCACACTGAAGCTATAGAGTGTACAACATGCATTTTTTGAAAGCTTCATATCTTGAGAAAAGTTTGTGGAAAACTTGTGCATTTCTTTCTATAATTTAGTCTAGTTGAGTTCTTTATATGTACAAAGTTTCAGATCAAAATTCGAAAATCTAGAGTCTAAAAAATGAATATTAAGAATTTGATGACTTAATCAAACATCAATGGAAACCTAAATTCCTTTAGAGTTTGTATTCGAACACTATTTAGTATCTATAGACAAAAAAAAAGAAACTATCTTGAATGAGAAACATTTTCTTAGCCTTACTCTAAGCTATTTCGCAAATCTCTATCAGTGACGTCGGTCGGTAGTCAGCAAACAGAAAGTGTACATACCAACGATAGACGAATAGGAATAAATTTAATTTGTGCTTAAATCCAATCTAAATGTGGTTTTTTATTAAAAACATAGAAGTGTCTTCATTGTCTCGATTTCTGGATTAAATGATCGAATATTTGTTTTTATAACATATCTATTTTGAGTCGAATAATGTTTGTTTAAAAACTCAATGATTTATATTTGTTTTTTTTTTCTTATAGGTGATGATGCTAAAAAAGTAAAATGGTATCTACTTGATCGTGATCATCATTTATATGCATCCCATGAAAAAATAATTCAAACCGTTATTAAAAATCATGGAGCTTATGAATATTGGCATCACAATTCTAGCTCAACAAAGTCCAATTAAACAAACACAAAATAAATTTATAAACATTTTTCATTCAATTTTCATTTTTTTAACTAAGAAGATTAATCATAGACAAATAGATTAAAATTGTTTAACATAATAAAATATTTTAATTCTAAAAAAGAAAAATTAATCTTTCTTGTTATCTATAACCAATAGAACCTTGATATTTGCTAATGAATAATAATAAGATACTAACGTATGCATTAATAATTCTTCTTATAAATCTCAATTAATTGATTATACTCAAATGACTATATGTCGAATAAGATTCCATAATACAATGCATTGAATATTAGTTGAACTATTTCAAATGATTAAACGTTGTAGATCTGTATAATAGAGCCTGCCGGATCCAGAGTTTTCGAATTTGGAATCCGAACCTGATTTATTGAAGGTTATTAAGATTTAGATTTGAATCCTTCTCATATAAGAAGAGATAATTGGGTCAAAAGTTTTATGATCCAACCCTGATGGACTCTAGTGTACAAAAAGTAGAGCAAGAAGAACACGTTTCGTTTTATTACAATAAATGCATAAACATGGAACTTATGAAAAATGATTGTATATAATGAGAATTTTCATTGTTATGCACACTTAAAAATCCTATAATAAATTTGATTAATAAATTTCGAATAATGATGAAATGAATAGTAGAACATATAATTTTCTTTTTCAAATATTTCTTCCTCAAAATACGAATAGATAATGACAATAAATAATATGGTTATTTAATGTTATGATATTTAAAGATTATATATATATTTTATATTTTTATAAAATATTTTCCAAATAATCGACTTATTTTCTTATTTATATTTAATTGAATGGATCATTTATCTATCAATAAAATCTACACTATTAACAGTTAAATTAACTTTAACATTGTTTGAAGCGTATTTCAAAACTGATTTTCTGATGAAATCAAAGCTCGATTAAATTCATTTTTTACTTGTTCGATTTTTTAAAGAGACATCGATATATAATTATTAACAAGCCTAACATTCTTAGAATAAACATGGCATGTTAAGATCAAGTTCTTGTTTGTTCTCAAGCATATATATACATTACAAACAAAGCTCTACATTCTTAAATATTAAATTGATTTATTGTCATGATTCAAACTCACAAGTTGTCTTCATTTTAAAAGTAAGATATAAATATCAACAGTTTTAATAAACTGGTGTCTAATTATTATTCAATAAGTCATTTCTTTCGAACGAAAAACAAATATAATTCGAAAATTTCTAGATAAATCAACGCACCATATTAAATAAGAAACGATGTACAAAGTTATTTTCAGAAAAATGTCTATCTAATATACAAAGAAGAATGTTTGCTTGTTTATTTATTTGTTCTTTATGCATTTGGTTCCCGTAGGAGCTAGTGCAACCAAACTTTGCATGGTCTCCTCTTTCGTCAAGGGAAAGGTCGAGGGCTATGTTTTGATCCTAAATTTTCATCTCGGGGTACTTATTAAACCCCATTGTTGGAGCACCGCAGTAGCTGTGTGGGTGTGGATTAGATATGGCACTTTAACTTTACTTTAACAGTTAAAGTTAAATTGTTACTTTAAACTTTAAAAGTTAAAGTTAAAGTGTCATATCTAGTGTGGATGTGGGTGTTTACTGTCTCTTTATCTACACCCATACCCACACCAATTCGAAGCCAACCTAGTGGACATTATTGATAGCTATTGACTTATTTATCGTCGCATTTTTGTTTTTCAAATCATAAATTAAATATGTTTAAAGTAAAATAAAGGGTAGAAATAATGGATATATCTAAGATTAAGAGAGATCAATAAGAAATTAGCGCTGCTGAAGCAAGAGTAATAAACATTTGGTGTGACAATGAGGCTTTTCCGTCATGTTCGTCGATATCGTTTATCGTTGTTTTGCTGATTTTCGTGGTATTTTCAATATTGTTACCATTTCTTAGTCGTTATTGTATCCGTTTCATTTGCTTCGTTTTCTGTTGAAAATGTAGACGACTTGTTCTTGTTTTACAACGTTTAGTTGATAACTTTAAATAAACTTGAACCAAGTGTTTTTTTTTCTTATTCAATTTTTATCATGAAATGAAAGATTCCGAACGAGAACAACGATTTTATTTGATTGTCGATGATTATTGAACAAAGAACTTTTGTTTCTATTCAAAATCAAGTCTATTCATTTGAAAAAGTCTCGAACGATTATTCAATGAACTGGCTATAGGGAAACAATTTGGGTTGGCACTTCACAATTCAAAACTATGTGTAAATGGAACAAGAAATTGTTGATGTTTTCGATAGTGAGAATTGATAATTTGTGAGATCGAACAAGTGTTAAAATGTCAAAAACAATGCGAGTAGATGCGTGATATAAGAAAACTATGTAGAAAAATAAAAACCATTTTAATATTGTAATACTTCTTTGACAAAGGTAAACACATTATTTGAACAAAAGGAAATATAAACACGTATCTCATTGTGTGTTGGAAAATATTGCTCTCGTGAGTTTTTAAATGAAATATTATTGATAAATGTAATCTTTTCCTTTCTTTTTCTTATTATGAATTGATGTTTCGTACTCAATGTATCTTATTCAATAAGCGATATAAAAATGGTTCTTTTATGTACCATTGAAGAGCTTGATCAGCAGAACAATAGAATTCAAACTATTTTCAGCAATAGCATTTTCAGAAGGATTTGTTTGATAATATATCTTTTAAAGATAAAAAAAAATTATTTGTATCTGATTCATTAAGTTCATTCGCAAAGTGTCAATAATCAAGTTTGATCACCAGTAATTGCTTGCAATAAATTCTCTAGCTAATTAGTCAACAGTTTGATTTAACAAAAAGATTTTTTACTGAAATTGCACATTATTTTCTCAAAGCATTCTATTTTACATCTTCCTAGTTTCTTCGCCGAGAAAAAGGTAGAATGAAAGGTATAAAATGTATGTTTTCTATCAGTTTTCAATATGTCTTTTGTACGATTACTGCTGAGAGACATTTGTAGATTCCAATTACTTCACAATTCTTTGCAGATTCTTATTATATTTTGATAGCATGTATTGGATTATTATTTGCAAGTGCTTATGAAATATCTAAAATTATTGCTGATGTTGCTAAGTTCAATTTCTAATTCGTCTTCGTCTTCGTCTTCAATAATGATGTAAATCCATGATATCTGTCGAATATTATGAATTCGTGGTAGAAAATCATGGATGAATTGTATTTTGGATTTCGAAAGTCCAAGAATCCAAATCATGAATGATAGAATTTCCATCTGAATTTTTTTCTGTATATAAGTCTAGAATATCCTAAAAGTTTCACCACAAACGGATGTTTCCTTCCCAAGATAATGAATTTACAAGAAATATTCATATTTCACAGTACAGTCCGAAAATCGAGTTTTCTTGAAAATTCAATTTTAGATTGAAACTCCGTCATTCAGTGTGAAACATCCCATGAAGTAAAAAAATGAAGGAAACGGACTGCGTAACGCGTTTCCGAGATTGTAGCATGCGTTTCGCAACGTTTTTGCAATATAGGACGCGTTTCGCAGCATTCTTACTTACATAAAATGCGTTTTGCCACAGTCGTTTTTTGAAACGATCCGAAACGCTTTTTTCAAGATTGCGTTTCGAGGCGTTTCCGAATTAAAATGCTGTCGAACGCACTTTGGTCGACAGGCGACGCGTTCTACAGATACAAATTGGGGGAAACGTAAAACGCGTTTCTTTTTCAAATGTGTGTTGCATTGTTTTGCTTGGAATGATGCAAAATATATCCATTCTGCATACAGAATCTTGCAGAAATTCACCAACACAAAGCATAGGAGTTAAGCAAAGTAAATTCTTTAAAATTACTTTGGAAATGATATGAAATAGCACTTGAAAGTTTTGCTCCTTGCACTATTTTTGTACGTGAAAATCATGACCCAGGATTTTATGAAGGCAAGACTAAAATCAAAGTCTTGGAAATTTTTAGGCTGCTAGGCTGTTATCTAGACCTAATTCGAAGGTAGACTAATGTAAAACATCAAAGTGTAACAAAAAATATATTCTTCTTACTTAAAAACTCATTTCACCACGTTTTTATTGAAAGAAAACGTGTTTCGTAAGGTTTACTTAAGAATTGTTTTCGACTTGTCCACGGAGGGAGATGATTCCGCTACGCTCGTTTGTAATGAATGAGAAGTTACAGACAAATTTGCAGTGTCTCATTTTGACAAGCACAATTTTTTGTCTAAGATTGCAAATGCATTGGATTCTAGAGATCGAGTCATTTGTTTGAAATAAAACAAATAAAGCGTGACGAAATCACGTTTTACGTGGACAGGTCCTTTTAAATATTGAGCATTTCGAAGAGATTTAGTAAAGACTGATACTAATATAATTAGTATAGTAACTCTCTTTGGTTATTTGTGAACAAAAGAATTATCGCGTTATCTGTAATTTGAATAAATATTACTTTGAATTCATACTCGAACTAATTGATAATAAGTAATGATACTGTGTACAATACTAGTAAACATGATTTTAGTTTGTACATTGTTGAAGTAAGAGTGACTTTTTAATAAAAGAGATTCAATTTACAAAAGAAAACTCCTTTCATTTATTGATGTAATTGGATAAAACGATGACGGATTTACATTTACAAAAGTCTATTAATCAAGAAAATGAATAAAAGATTAAATTTTAAATTTGTTAAAATTTATATATAAGAAATTTAATTTTTTATATATTAAATACAGTGTAAATCGATTAAATTCGTTTCTACTGTGTATCTAAATTTAAATCTGAAAGAGTTTAAATAAAAAATGTATCAAGAAAAGACCACACTCGTAATTGGACATAGGCACCAAAGAAATGATAATTTTTAATTCAGTGGAATGGAAACTGAAAATCTAATTTAGTAAGTTTACGCGGGACTCTAAATGACAGTAGAATAAACACTTATATCATTAGATTATTTTAGTTGAACGGTTTGTATACATGTCTTATACTCCTATGTTCTCGTGTTCGAATCCGTGTCTTGACTACATCAAAATTCATGTGAGTTATAGTTCTAAAGGCCTATGAAAAAATGTAAACGAATACATAAATTGTACCTGCTGTTCAAGATCTATGAAGTCATTGACGATTTTCAATTTTTTTTCCATCTAGAATTCACGACACCACAGTTTGAGAAACGCTGCGAAATTTTTCACAAAAACAATCGTTACATAGCGTTTGTTTTGGCAGATGTGAAACGCGTCAAACCGGTCAGCATTAACGCGTTTCGCAGCTATGGAAAAATGCGTTTTCAGAACGCGTTTTTTTCGCAGAAATTTACACCATGGGATTGCTGTTGAATTTCCGGATTTTTTCTGGATACAAATCCAAAAAAAATCCGCTTTTCCCCTTTGATCTAACGAAACTAGAGAAAATTCTGCATCTGTTGAGCTTCAAACGAAACCTTGAAAGCTGATAAGACTAGCAAAAATATGAGTAATAAAGTGGCGCCATTTTCTGTGCCCAACCCTTTATATATATGTAATTTCATATTGTGACTCTTGGGCTACATTGCAATTTCTCTCATAAAACATCATGTGATAGAGAGAATTAGAAATTCATTTTATCATATGTTTTGCTTGTAATGATGAAATATTATCGCAAATATGAAAGAATAAAAGAGAGCCACTAGTCAAACAGATGTCATTATAATAAGAGTCTCTGTACCAGTCTAAAACTAAGAGTATGTGATATACCACACATTTGAAAAAGATAACAAGGATGTTGGTTGCCATTCTCTGGTTGTCACTGTTTTCATTACCAACTATTGTTGGCCGAGAATATCAAACATTTCCACTGCGTCTGGATGCCATAATTAATGAACTTCATCGTCAGAAACAAACATTGCTCAATACTGATGATCTATCCTATGCTGGTACGATCGATGAATTATATGTTCAACTTTTATCAACTAACAATCGAACAACTGCCTGTGAAAAAGATATTGAAATATTGGTCAAAGCAGTACTCCGTCGTGATATGTGGGCTCTCAAAGTCATTGATTCTTGGGGTAAACCTCTTCCATCTGGTATACTCAAACGAAATCTCTTTTGGGTGGGTAACTACGATGAATGTGTTCAACAAATATATTTACCTGACAACAAATCATTCGTACAATAACCTTTCGATACTCAATATTGTATGCTTATTTTCTTCATCTGCACTATCGAATAGTTCGAAATCCTCGTTTAGGTCTAATCGTTCCTGATCCATCGGCAACGACTGGGATTTCCCTTGGTTCCTGCTGGCCATCATCATGCGATCGTCATTCCATAAAAAATTTTATGCAATCTTTATTCAAAAGAAGCAATTTCACTGAAGATCGTCTTCTATGTTCATCAGGTGCACAACGTCACAGGTCAAGCTTAACACGTGGAGCATTGGTCGCTTGTATTATTCTCGCATTACTTGGCCTTCTCGTTCTCACAGGCACTGTGATCGATATTCTGCACTTTTCTTGTGCTGATTCCTCCGCTAATCTAGCAACAAATATCAATGATGATGAACAAGGTGAAAAACAATCTCTCTTGCCAAAGAAAAATTCTGTTCAAATTGCATTCAATACATCCGCATTTCTTGCTCAATTTTCAACCATTCGCACACTGAATCGCATCTTTTCGATTAATACTAATAATAATAATGATTCTTTTTCGTTTATCAATGGCATTCGTGTACTTGCACTCTTTTGGGTTATTTTTGGTCATTTATTTTCTTTTGGTGCGTTCTATTCAAGTAATTTACTGGACATTATCGCCTGGTCTAATAATCTAGCCTTTCAACTTATTCTGGGTGGTCAGTTCAGTGTCGATACATTCTTTGTTCTAAGTGGGTTTTTGACAGCTATCGTCTTTGTTCGAGAGGCTGATAAACAAAAATTTTCATTTCGATTCGTTCTCCTTTATTATATTCATCGATATATTCGTCTCACGCCAGCCTATCTACTTGTCATTCTCATCAGCATTAATTTAACGCCTTATTTCGGCAACGGACCTGCTTTTCCATTTGAACAAGGATTTGAATCAAATGGATGTCGTAATCAATGGTGGTGGACATCAATTCTCTATATTAGTAATTTGGTTCAACCGGACAACATGTGTCTACCCATCACGTGGTATCTTCAAAATGATATGCAATTTCATTGGTTAGCTCCACTTGCTCTAGTTCCATTTATTATGAGACGAAAATCAATCGGGTTCTGTGTTATTATTCTCTTCGTTTCTGTCAGTATTGGGTCTATAATTGGACTTCTTCTTCATTATCCGTACATGACAGCCAATATCTTCCAACCAAACACACCGGATGTAAGTTGCATCATAATAATATCCGCTTTCATTGATTATAAATTTTGATTCTAGCAAGGGCTCACTTATGATGACACAATCTATATGACTCCATGGTGTCGCATTTCAGCCTATGCCATTGGTATTTTAACTGGTTTTGTTCTCATCCATACCGGTCGTTCCTATCGTCTCAATAAGTACGTGATCCTAATTGGCAGTCTTATTGCTATTCTACTTGCAATGACTTGTATATTCGCCATTTATCCTGACTATGTACTTGTAGAAGGTATAAGTCGATCGTCAAGAATTGCTTATGAAGCACTCTCACGTC